ATAATTACCACACACAGAGGGCACTCCGTTAACAAACTTACTATAGACAGAGATGTATTGTAATATATACGTCTCTGCTATAGACAACAAGGAATTACACTCTATTTTCTCAGGAACTCAGTCACATGATGACAATAAAGTTATCTTCATAATGATTTTTTTAATGATTACTGAAAAGAATAGATTAGTTTTAAAACAAATCATCTACGTGAGAAGTTAAATATCCTAATAAGGTTGTTTTTTTATTTATTAAATTAGGAGTTCCAAGTTCCAAATATTAGTTTACCTTGGTTAAGGCACTGTTGTGAAATGAAATTGTGCATGGGGCTGTCATTTCCTGATCGAGGGACAGCCAAAGTATCTTACCTGTAGGTTTTTACCTTGAACTGATTTACCTGTATACAGCTGTACGTGGTGGATAGACAATGAAATGAATTAATTGACATGGACTTAATTGACTTGAAATCACCTTGATCAGGTACAGCACATCAGAATCCAATGTGACCACAGGTGAATGGTCAATGCATTATCACTGCCTAGATTCTCAGGTATATAGATATCATATTGAAAGAAATGTATCTGTCAGCGGGTGGTCATGTTGCCCTAACAACCTTTATAACGGACACTAAAATTGCTTATACCTTAAACAAGGGACAGGTCATTACCACATGGCCAGCTGTATGCCTGTTATTTAAATTACCCCTAAGGCCTAGATGCTGGTGTGGGGAACACACAGTAGGCCCATGGGAGGAGGGCTGTTACGTCCATGTATGTGTAAACCGTCATTTCTGTGGGTTTTTTTCCTTCAGACTTTAATGATGGTTGGAATAATTTTCACGTAATGCAGTTTATAATGGGTTTTTTTTTTACAATTCGTTTCGACAAATATGTATTCCGTAAAATTTTCGACCGAACGTTTCACAAACGCTTTTTAAATGGAAAGATGTAGACGCAAGTGCTACGGAAACGATATGGAAGTGCTACGCAAGTGCTACGGAAATGCTACGGTAATGGTACGGAAGTACTACGGAAATGCTACGCAAGTGATAAGCAAGTGCTACGCAAACGGTACGGAAATGCTACGCAAACGGTACGCTGAAAGTGGAACAGCGAACGTGTACGGGTCTGTAGTGGCAAGATTACCCTGTTTTTACTTATACAGAGAAAAGGCTACTGCCAGGCGCTATTATTCTGAACCGTCACACATCGTGCCATCACTTTATACAATGTAACCAGGGTGACGTCATCAATTTTGTCACACATTTTAATGACGGGACGGTGCACTTTATTACAACTTTTTTTTTACACCAGGAAAGTGTGAAAAATATCAATCCTCGTGGTAAGATGTTTGAAGTGTAGCACTCTGCAAGGCTTTACTTCTGCCTACACCACATAGGAGTAATCAAACGACTTTTTCTCAGCGAAAAGAAACATACACCGAAACCATTTCTTTCGGTTTTAAAAAGGATATTTTTGTTCTTAAACTGACGATAATTGAAACTAGTTTTAATTTAATGGAAGTCTCCATAAACTGAATTGTGCTTACGCTTTTACCTGTATTAAGCAAATGATTTGATGTGTTACGTTAGGGGGGTTTCATGATAAGTTCCTTCTTGCTGATTTTTACATATTTATATGTACAGTGTACTGTTACAGCGTGTTCGCTGAAAGGCACGAAGTTTGATGAGCCAATTAAACGCGGGTGAAATGAAAGTCGTGATGGAGGATTATTTTGACTATATGCAGATGTATATGTACGTCCTGATGAAGGAATACTGCTAGATGAAGGTCACGACGAATTGGTTAGGATGTATGAAGGTTATGATGAGTAACATGACCGTCCGTGTGTTTCCTTCGTGCTGTATGACCGTATCGTGTTGATGGGACGTTAATCGACGTCAGTAATAATGATGACCTATTCAATGTTTCAATATCGATACATCACTGAAGTAATATAAAAGGGATATCGTTTTTCTTTGTATACATTGGTTTTGTCCTTTAAATTGACAACCACCCTCCGTCCATGCACAAAGAACATTGCACATTGCCTAGTAGTCACCTGGCCATACGTTTGTAGCCTCCATCGAGAACCCTGGCAGAGTTGTCCTGACCACAGACTGGCAGCATCCTCGATAACCAGGGTTTACGCTCACTTTCGCTTTTTGCACCCCTGGAATTTGTCATAGCAAAATTGAAGGCACAAAGATAGCTGTTTGATTGGTCTCAGGTAAAAAAAACTGACCAATCGCTAGGCTGATATCTGTCCTTTGAAGATTACAAAGGGGCGACAACCGACTTCAAAGTCAAACATTTTTTATCGTTACGCGACCGCGAGATTCTTTTGATGTACATCAAAGGAACAAGATGGTGCATACTGAGCCTTCAATGTTGCTGATGTCGAGGATGGACTGGCAGCGGCGACGATGTTTCTATCAGGCGATGGGTAAAGGTGGAAAACTTCCACTCACGTCAATGTAACGTACTTACGGTATTGTTGAAACTCGAAGTTTCAACTGGTTGTACATGAAGTACATTGATTATATATGATAACGTCATAACAAAAACAAAGTGTCTCACAGTAAGCATATATCTAGTTTTGTATCCCACACATAATGATATGTAATATCAAACTAACCATAACTACGGTTATAATCAGGCTATACGAACACATGTAATGCATGAGTAAGTTTCGGTGTGCTGAACTTCCCATCGATGTATAATGTAAAGAAAATATAGTAGTTTTAGTGTTATAGTTCAACCTTATCCATGAACATATCACAAAGAAAACGAAGAAGAAGAAGAAGAAGAAGAAGAAGAAGAAGAGAAGAAAAAAATAAGGAGAAGAAGAAATTAATGTTTTCATAATGTACTGTAATATTTTAATTACATAGATACCTATTCTAATTCCAAAAGGTGTTGTTATTACAAGTAATATTTAATAGAACAAATAACAAAGTTTATTACTTTAAAATATTAACAAGTTATTAGAAGCAGTACAGAATATAAGATGCATGTACATATGTTACAATTCTCGCTTTGGCGTCACCGACACATTGTTGGTCTGCATGCTACACATACAGGTTACTAGACCTTCATTGTAAATTAACCGTCACTGATATACTTTAATGTTCATTAAAGGTAACAACATCGTCTAGCCACAAACAAATACATGTTTTGTCACTGTATTGACTTTGATATAGGATATTTTTCTTAAGCGATATAAATGAAGAAGTATTCATATGTATGAACAAAAATATGTGTACAAGTCAAGAAATGTCGAGCTTTAAATGAAATTCTATCTTTATGAAAAATAATTATATCTCAGCATAAATCAAGCAAATATCTGTCCACTTCTACTAAATGTCAATGAAATAATTAATATATAATTTATATTATTCCATTTGCACAAAGCAACCTATGATAACGTGATAACGCGATAAAAGGTACTACTGCATCAGGTATAATCGTGAAAAGAACTTTCTTGATATTTTCGAATTGACTTTCTTCTTTTTTATTTTTGTAAATTCAAGTTCATGACCTTAATAGAAATGTATGTGTGCTTCCTGTAAAAACACAATGACTAAACCTTGCTATGGCCAAAAAATGGGGAAATGTATCAGATGAAAAGCAGTTACGTAGATTTGCCACAATATAGATTTGAATAATATTAGTTACCATGACGAGCTGTCTGTAACTGTTTGTTCCGGAGATTATTTATTTGTTTCACTTCCCCATATCGACGGATTTTACAATACTGGCTATCTACAATAAAACCTGCATGCCATTCACTCGGTTTTATATGTAAAGGCGATGGTTTCAATTGTTTTTGGCAATATTTGTTCACTTTCGTTTTCATTTCGCGAAAATATTGAAGTTCTGCCATAACATCACTTTTGCTTACAGCCTCCTGCCAACGTTTCAAAAATTTCCTTTTAAAAAAATCAAACAATGCATAATCTAGAAGACACCATTTCCGGTAAAGATCTTCTTCCTCTTTTCCGACGGCTAGAGATGGTTCCGGTCGCTTTTGTACATGACTAGATACGTACAATATATGCCTCATGTCCCAATTCAGTAACCTTCTCATTAAAATCAAACTTTCCTCAAAATACTCAACAACGATAACCAAATCAAATTCTTTATCAAGTTTTCTTAAATACTTTTGAATCTGTTTTTCATCTGGTTTGACAAACAATTGGAATGGAAAGCCAAAGTCCCAAGCCATAGAATTATATAAATTGGATACTTTTTTATTTTCCCCAATTATACGTCTGTACTCGTTCGGCGCTTGCAAGAATTTAAGAATTGGTTGTTGTTTTGCGATATTTAACATGAAATGTCTGTGGTAATAATGAACAGACGAGATGAACTGTCGGAAGGGATCTCGTACTGTGGCTACGTACACAGAATCCGAGGGAAGAGTTTTCTCAAACTCACTTCTGTTGTAGCGGATATGGTTACAGAGAATGTCGTACGTTCTGTTTCTGGGTGGTGGAAGGGCCCTTGACGAGATCGGTAGGCCTGTACCCATGGGTAATGTGGTACCGTGTTGGGGTAAAACAAACACTAAGTCATGTTCAATACCGAAACGGAGGAACAGATTTTGCATGGTGCCACTTGCAACTTTATGGACCTTTAAAAAAGCGATATGTTTTACGGGACCACTATTGTATATCTGGATTTCTGCATGTTATTTCCTCCATCATACAAGACTTGATCTGTAGCCTGCACGACTGACCCTTTTGATGTTCGTGTTCGTGTTCTGTTAGTATCTCCAATTGCCAGATCCGACTTGATACTACTGTCTTGTGTTGTGTACCCACTGTGTAAATCTGAACCACCATTCCTCCCTAGCCACAAAACGATACAGAATACCAAAAACAGCACACTGAAAAACAAAGGGAAATATGATGAAAAAAATGTCACAAACAGTACCAATATGTCGGCTCCGTAGTCCTATTCAAAGGCGAAAGGCATCGCGGAATCTAAACAACGTTCTTATACTTTGTAACGCTTGGTATGCAACTTCTAAGGATGAAATAACAATCACGTTATTTAAACTTATCACATTTGTCAAAGAGTTTGGTATTTCTTGTGTTTTAACAAAAAAACTGGTGTTCACCTCATACTGTGAAGGTAATTATAGTTATTGCTCTTGTTTCTCTTTTTTTGAAGACATTGTACGGTCTTAGTGGTTTACTTTTCAGAAGAATGATTATCATCGATTGTCCAAAACTTACTGACAATAGTAAAGTACAATGTCAAAAAAATCAGAAAACATTATTAAATCCTTGTTAACATGTAAGCGTACCTGGTATTGTATAGTTTTTCAGTTTATCAATAACGAATCTAATTAAAATTATATCTACACATCGCTCCCGTTTTCTGACATGTCGCGGGAGTGATGTGTAGATATAATTTTAATTAGATTGGTCAATAACAAAATTATGGATTGGTGTCGATTATTAAACATGAGAAACAGATATGCTTGATTTGGGTTTACAACTAAGGTCATTTAAGGACGTGCTTCCACGTGAAATGTATGCGTGCTTATTGGTATGTGTGCTAAAATCAAGGTATGGCGAGGGTCTGATGCCGACTTTAGAGTGCTACCCCACTGAATACCATGCCCAAGGCACCCATCACCGTAATCCACCCGGTCACGTTATACTGGCATCGAGTAAACCAGTTGTTGCTGTAACTCTAAATGCTGAACGTTAAGCAGGGAATGACATCTACCAATTTTAAGTACTTTGGAATGTCCCGCCCTGGGACAGAACGCATTGCCTAACCCCCCTCCGAACTAGGTTGTGATAAAGCGGTACATAAGAACCTCGAATTATTATCATTATTATTATTATTTACAAATATTGCATTACTGGCAAATTTAAATTTGCGCTTATTTATTCATATATACATAGCTTTAATATATGAATTTATACATTGTACGTAATTAATTTCAAAGGCACAATCTGTCAATCAATAAACACTTGATTTCATCTCTAACGTCAACATAAATAGCACCAATAAAGGATACTATTTAACATTTAGCCCTAGAGAAACTTGTTTGTTCGACACCGAAAATTGTCATCGATTTCAGAGCTCCGTTAAACTAAACATTTTAAGCTGTTATAGTTTGCTTCACCTTAGCGATATATTTTCAATCATGTCATTAAATAGCAGAACGTAAATATGTACTATCGTTACATTAAGATGTAAAAACAACTCACCAGATTGCTGAAACGCATCGGCGCATTGTAATTCTTCTTTGATACGCCTTTGCAACGGGTGATAACTTATATGTGACTTATACCTACACGGTTAATTGTTTACGTGTATTTGTCACCGGCCGAAACTAATGGCTAGCGGCTACACTTTTTACAGGTTAATAGCATTATGCCGATAGTTTATTTTTTCTAAACTTGAACAAAGACACAAGGCGTTTCATCTCTTTTCTTTGCTTTCTAATACGTGTATATAATTTGGTCACACAAATAAGATCAGCTAGATATTCCCGGGGCGACGACCCACGTACACTTGAAAACGTATACAACTCATATACATGTATCACTTACACATATGTGTAGGACCGTGACAGTCATTTAGCATACACCACACGCACATGCCGTTGAAATTATAAAAATGTTTTTAAAAAGAAACATTTTAAACTCACATTTCCATACCATACATGTGGCGGGGCTTCGACACATTGTGTTTACATATATGTGCAATATACCCGTTTTAAACCCAAAATATCTACAAATACTGCTTATACGCACATTCCCTGTGAACACGTATATCTGGTAATGCTAATAGAAACGTATTTTAATTGAAATACGTCAAAAATATCGAATTTCAAACTATTTTGTTAACTTTTTTTATCATTATATTTTCCATGACATAAACATATATATATAAACCTGAAGAGCCCTGTGAAGGGTGAAAGCAGCTAGTTTTTTAGTCGGTCGTTAATCTTATTTTTTCTATATATATATACATATACATACAATGAACATGGGCGTCTAGAATCGCCTTTAAATAATGTACATACTGTTCAAATTATTCGATCAAGTATCAGTATTCGTCATACATATATATTAACAAATAAGTATAAATTCACATTTTTGATATAAAAATAAACTTCCGTTCCGGATAGGTGTTAATGATAACGTAATGTCGTTCTGTGGTTGGAGTGCTTCGGTCTCAAACTTTAAAGGATACCACTGAAATAAATTAAAAACGTTACATAACATGAACAGCAAATCTTCATTAATATTTAAAATAAATTACCATTATTTTACTTAGCATGAGTCTGTCAAATTTACTCTCAGTTTTTAACGTGGTTTAGCAGGATAAATAGGCTCATTGATCTATTTCTTACATTTTAATATTATATTGTGTAGCAAGTTTCAAAACAATCTTATGAATATAAAATTACAAGTTGACTATATTTCATTGACTGACATCATAAAATGTATAAAGCTCTTTAGCCTGTCGATTTAAAATCAGTACGTAAGATTTTGATTACTTTACAGACATACTAATATAATTGCCTCCTCTTGACTGTTACACTGTAAGAGTGTACATTGTTCGTACGATATGTGTTCACACAAGTTACCTCCCATTGACTGTTTATTTGTCACGTGCAGCAGGTGCGGAATGTTTCAAAATATAAAGAAGCAAAGCTTTTTGAAAATTGCTTAAGTCGAACTATCAATCGATTTGTGTTTTCCAAATATATCCTAGTCCCAACCGACACATTTCGTTTTTTTGGTTGACTCCCCGTTCTTCATATTTTGAAATATATCGTGATGGTATTGTGGTTTTCTTTGAACAACATTAATAAATCAATGCTTTGATAATATTATTTGTCTCGATAGTCGATCTTCTAATCTTCCCTATCAAAAAAACCCAACATATCTGCCATTTATTACATACCACATAACAGGCTGAAGTGTTTCAATTTCATTGCATTTGTTAAGCCCAAAATCCCGGATCCGTTAACACCAACTGTTAAGAGTATATGTGTCAGACACAGCCGGTGTAAAAATTATGTTTCTTTTAAAAGTTAGATAACGCCGATATTGTTAAACTATCCTTTTCTACGCCTGCTGAACTTATCCGTCATGAACATCAACAGTTTCGATTTGATATTAATTGTAACACAAGTTTTTTATTTACATTTCAATTGCTGCCATTCATTGATTAACACGTTTAGCTTTTGGGATTTTTACTAGCATAATTAGCGGAATAAATGAATATTTGTGTGGTATGAGACTTTACATCCATGAAAATGGTACTAGTTGCCTAAAGAAATAAAAAATATTGATGTCAATAAATGGTCAGAATATAAATAAAAAATCTGAGCTTTATGTAGGCAAGGGCAAAGGAAATGAAAAAAAGGGAAAATCCTTCTTCGTCGCTTAAATTTTACTTGATTTTGACAAATATTGTAGATATACCTAAATGGTATATCCCGTTTTTACGTTATACACAAATGGAATGGTTTCTATCAATATTAAATTTTGCGAAAATTCAAATTGTTCAAAGCGGCCGAATTGCATTGGAATTTGAATTCGGTGTTAATAGGCCAACACAAATTATATTGAACTGTAAAATAAATGGTTATGAGAATGAGCGCTCGTTGCTACAGTGTAACATGACTACATAAATAAAATGCATTTTTGAAACTACCAAATTACGGTTATGTCAAAATTAAGGATGTACACTTCTGAGAAATCAAAAATTTCCTGTATTAAACTTTTTTTCTTATATTGATTTTTGGAAAAAGGAGATAATGGCATAGTAGAAAATGCAAAAAAATATATATGTCCGTGTGTTCGTTTTTGTGCTATGATCGGTCAAAGATAACAATTTAACACAATAGGTGATTTTAGGTGAATTTTTGGGTTTTGACCATTTGCAGTACAAATTCATACAATTTCTTCCAAGTATGTTATCAGATAAGTATGAATGTTTGTAGAAATGATAAAAATATTATTTTCTTTTAAATTATGGAAGTAAAATTTCTTAATCTTATTCATTTTACTCAGAAATGCGATTTTAGTTACCCCTACCCCCTTTTTTTGATGAAAAAATGCACATTTTTTCACCATTTTTTGCAGATTAAACGCTTGATATAAAAAAAATCCTGTATTAAACTTTTTGAATCAAAAGAAAATGTGTTTCTCTTTCTAAAACAGCCACAAAAATGGGGGGTCGGTGTGCTTCTTTTTTTGTCCCATTATTATTTGTGTTATTTTTCACCTTTTTCGGGGTCAAAACTCAAAAGTGCTTCAGTTACCCTAATATGTAAAAAAATACCAATAATATATAACTTTCCACTTTTTTGCATATTATTTTAATCATATTGAACATTATAAAGTTGTACAGCAAAATTGAACCTGCTACATTTAAAAATGGTGACACAATGACAATTTAAGTGATCAATCTAGTGTAAAAAAAAATGTGAAATTTTGCCCTTTGTGAAGCGCAAGAAATTCACATAAATATACTTTTTCAAAATGGCCGTCAAATTGGTCATTTCTTTCAAATTCTTGTAAAAAAATGTTCTACACACAACAGACATCTAGTTTTTTGACATGTTTTTCAGATGTGTGTTTGCTATTAAACCTATCTTAATTTGTTAAATATTACAAAAACCCGTTACACCAGATCAAAACGAGACTT